CTAGGCCTTGGCAAATCCACTGTTGCAGATGGTCTGGAACGCATTGGGAAGGTGAAAAAACTCGACAATTGGGTGCCCCACAATCGGAGTGACCGGCAGGAATCGGCACGTCTCGAGGTTCCTTCTTCACTGCTTTTGCGCAACAGAAACGACCCGTTTTTGACCGAATTGTGATGAAAAATGGATCATGTATGATAACAGGAGACGTTCCGGACAGTGGTTGGATGCCGACGAACCACCGAGGCAATTTCCAAAGCCGAATCCTCACGAAAAAAAGATTCTGGTCACGGTTTGGTGGTCATCGGCTGGTGTGATCCACTATAACTTTTTATCACCAGGCCAAACCATCACAGCAGAACCCTACTGTGAAGGAATCGACGAAATGTACCGAAAATTTTGTCAGCTGCAGCCAACACTTATCAAAAGAAAGGGTCCGATTCTTTTGCATGACAACGCCCGCCCACACGTTTCACAAATCACTATCCATAAATTGAACGAATTGGGGTTGAAGTTCTACCTCAACCGCCATATTCTTCAGACCTTTCGCCAATCCGACTATCACCTTTTCTAACATTTTCAGAACTCCCTTGCTGGTTGCTGGAAAATACTTCATCAATCAGGACCAGGCAAAAAAGCCTTCGTGGATTTCGTGAACTTCGACCACCCAGTTTTTTCTTTGATGGGATTTCTCGACTGCTGTCACATTGGCAAAAGTGTGCTGATTCGAATGGTGCTTATTTGGATTAAATCCGATGAGTATTAAGAAAGTTATGATCGTTTAAAGTGAAACACTCAAAACGTGCAGAACTTTCCGGACAACCTAATAGAAGGTGATGGGCGTGAGCCAACTCTGTCTGAGCTGCGGAAACTTTGTGTCTCGATCGGAGTGACTTTTCTATTGGCCCCCCTGTATAAAGCTGACGTGGTTCGAACACTGCCATCTGCAATTACTTATACGACTTCAGCGAGTGTATTGTATGTTAATGGAGTGTTAAGCTTTCATAGTGGGCGTTGGGATTAAGGTATTGGGAAAAGAACTTATTCATTGTACCACTCGTCTTGAGCCAAAGTGTGTGGAGATCAGGGGATTGCAGTGTGGGATCTTGGAGTGACCACCCCGCCGATGGTCAAGAGGGCTAAGGGTCCGCTATAAAAGGGCGGCCCAGTTGTTGAGTGAGAGTTCAGTTATTTCTATTTCTTAGTCCGGCCAAAGACTCCCGCCGCCGGTCGTCCGTCGTCACTGACCAGGTCGAATTCACCGTCGCAACAGCGTCACAACTTCGCCTACAGCGTCAACGCCACTTTATAATATTCTACTTCTACTATTATTACCTACCTGTGAACTAATAAATTTTGTTCTCTACTACTGTATTCACCGCAGATCACTGTGATATCACCGGGCCTCACACTACAAGTGAGCTTGGATCTAATATTGACCCATCACAGAGTTTCCAGTTCATTGTAGCCTCCGATGCTTCCGAATACGGAGTAGGAGTAACTCGTTACATCTCCCCAAATGGACTCGGCTACCATGCAAGCTGTTGCCTTACATCAGCAGAAACGGGACTAACCAAGACGCTTCGCTCATCTGCTGCCGTCCGAGGTTCTCGGCTTTGCTTTGAGTACCAATCTGCATGGCAAACGGTCTTGAGTGATGGGCCACGATGTTGTTCAACTACAGACTCACTATTGAATGCTTGAGGACCTAGGATTTGCAGGTGAAGGAATGCTCAATCTCTTCTTCTCATAGCGTCGCTCTCATCTGTACTGGAATACTGCGTGACCACCTCCTCGAGGCCTACTGCCGAGTTCATAGAAAAGTGTCCACATTTTCCGGATCTGCTGAACCCATCCGGACCGCTGCAAAGGCTAATCGTCACATCTAGCAAGCGATCGACCAGCGAAATGAAGCAAATGAGCCTAGTGTCATACGCGAACCTTTTTCTACTCTGCTACAATCGCAATAAACTATCATTAGATCTCTATAATGGCATCGAGCATAAGTGGCAAAGAATAAGGTTTTGTTCTTATAGCACTCTACAGAGCGCACTGAGGACAAACAGCGGCGGAGAAGCTCGCATAAAGCCACGTATACTTGCCTGAGCACATGGCTGAGACCTGCTCCAACAAACGTGCTTCAGTTGCTATAGATCCTGTCAAAGTTGAACTGCGTCCCAAGCCAAGACCACATCCCAACGAGGTAGGGCGTGTGCTGATTGCTCCAGACCGATGGAAGGACGACAACAAGTGTACCTATATCTCTACTCCAAGTCAGATCGTCCATTACTGACAAGTTCCCTTTAGCCAGAATACAAGCAATGAAGAAAATTTCAGTCATCTTTAGAAATCCGCTTACGCTTGTCACAGGTAACGAAACGCACTTAACTTTTTCGCAATTCACTTTGTACTGCCGTTCCCGAGAAGTCGCACACGATACGACGTCACTCCATCCACAGAGCAATGGACAAGCGGAACGCTTTGTGGCACCATCAAGTGAAGACGCCAATTAGAAAGGGGAGGAAT